GGCTGCACGAATGACAACGTAAAAGAATTTATTCGAGTCACCCATCAGCAACTCGACTCTCATGGTGAGCGATCCAGGCGAACTTTCCAGACCTACCGTTAAGCTCATAAGACGCTCCATACCCTACGTTTTTCTCAAACTCAAATTTTGATTGGGATACACGCCAGTATAAATATTATCTACGCTCAGTGCTAGAGCCAGTCCATTCTCAAAAAATCACCTGTGTCTCCAAAAACTGACTACTTTCAACAACCTGTATTTGGGGCTTAGATTGACCTAGATGACTCATGTTTGCCACACGTCAGAACTAAATCAGATTTTGATACTCAACGTAGGGTTGCGAAACGAATTCCTGGGAACCTTAGTGACGCTAAATATCTGTGCGAGCGCTCAACAATTTGTTGAATGATTTAGAAGCATGATTACACAGAATTCCGACGGTGAAAGAGGCCTTGAAACATATGAGAGCATTCAGACAACATAAGAGGGACGGAGAACATTTGTGACGCAATTTGGCAGGGTAAATCAAAAATATATTCAAGCAACGCCACTCAAACATCCTATAGACTCTTGACAGAAGGAACCATGCTAATCATAAGTTCTCCGTCCTGTTTTTAGAAGAGAGCAAACTTGAGATCAACACATACTGCACTAATGGATCACCAAGTTATTGTTTTCAGCCTGAGCTTTCAAAAAACCACGGAATTTTCGGTACTTCGTTAGCCATTACAGACGAGAACAGTTACGGGCGGTTAGATCACACACGTTCTACGTATGTAACGACAGTCGGTTACAATCATTTAAGAAAGTCTGAGTATAAAGAGCTTAAGACAATGACCTGGACTACAACAATACGTCCCAATAACGAATTTACGATCAAATTATGCCCATGTCAACCTAAGCACTTCCTCATTTAATATGCAGAATAAATTCACAAACTTACAATCAAAGCTACATTCCAGTTGAGTTAACGTATAGTCAAGCTAGGATCATGCTAACATTTTGATTAACTAGAGCAAGCCGAATCGAAATGAGAGCTGCGACAAAATCACCTAAAACTATACCGCAAAAAAAAGTAAATTCCACAATCTTAACATCCAGGAGAAGAGAGTAATTCTTTCAGCACCTGGTTTTCAAGCCTTTCATCAATCAAGTGGATACACACAAGCATACCTGAAAAAATTTTTCAAAAATTGGAACAAACTTGATTTCTAAAAGGCACCTCACTCCCAGTCTCCTCAGCTGGCCCACTCCTAGGTTGAAATGATCTTATTAGCAGCTCAGAGGATTGTCCTGCCCCCATGCGTTCACCAACTCACAGCTAATAACCAACTGGATCTGCTACTGTATTAGCACACGCTAATACCAAATAAATAGGTATGTTTACATAACAGCAAGGTATTCTTTTCAGTCTGTGGCATAGAAGTGCCAATGAGCATAACTAAACACAGTCACAGGTCGTTTCCGAGTCTTGCGATAAGTCCATTTGCAGCTACTAACTCTGATTGCAATCGAGTTGTTCCAGCCGTTGTGATGAACTGCTGCTCATCCAATTGCTGTATTTTTCTGACTATAAGGCGCACTCTCGATGAATGTTACATTTCGAAACCCTAAGATAACAAACCTTTCGCCACAATGCACTCATAAACCTTAACTATGTCACAAAATTGCTTCGAGGTTAGTAATCAGAATTATTCCATACATGTAAGACGCTCCAGGCTTTTAAGTGCGCCTCATAGCCAGAAAAATACGGTAGTTTGATCCCTAACACTCACAGTACTGTCCCCTTAATGCTAACTGCCCCAAGTTTAAACTAAAAATTTCGTTTTTCCTAACTACAAAGGAAAATCTTGGAACACTGTGAAGACGTGGTGTGAGTAACTAAACTTACAACATTAGAAGTTGACAAAAATTGTAATAGCAACGCTAACGTTTTGTGAACCCTAACTAATCATTCATTTAGGTGAGTTGTTCAGTCTGCAATTAAAGAAATCGAGAAAACTTATAAAAGCTGAACTCCACCAGAATATCAACGACAGGGAACGTTTGTAAGGCAGTATGCCATTAAATCAAAACACAATAACTCTCAGCATAGTCCCGCTTCCAAATCTTTCAGCAATCGCCCGAATTCTCGAAGATTGTAAAGAAACTGACTTCTGAAAAGCACCTCACTTTCAGTCTCTGCAGCTCAGCCATTTCTAAGAAGAAAAGATCTTAAGCTAGCGGCTCAGAGGAAAGTCTTGCCCCCATGCGTCAACAAATCACAGCTACCTGGTTCAACCTCAGCTGAAAATATAAGTTTCCGAAAATGATCAATTTTCGAAGATACAGATGAGATAAAATTTTATCAAACTGTTCTGGTAGCACTGGCGATAGATAATAATTATACCGGCAAAGGAAGTAAGGACAATACCGATCGAATTGTATGGACGCCAATATGAACCTAGCAATAGATAAGCTTCGGCGAGTAACCACAAACACCAGAGAGATTTCTTAATTTTATACTACATTCAACAAAACTGAAACGAAATGAACTGATTTCATATGTGCAATCAATGGCCAACCCGATGGTAATTCCCCCCTGATGGGAAAGTGCGCACGGTGAGTCCGGGAACCCTCGTTACCTAAGCAAATGCCCAACGGCACTACTTAGGCCAACTTACGCGCATTCCCTAGCCCCGGTCAAATTGGCGCCTTTCCCAGGCCGGGATCGCCCATATAATATTTCTGAGAATGAGTGCTAACGATACTCGGGTAAGCATCGTCAACACATTTTACGTTAATTCTCCCCGATTCGCCGAAACTACCGGTAGGCGGGGAACGCCTGTCGCATTTACTTTAAACTAGCCCCTCTTGTCGGCAGTTCGACAGGTTGGGAACACCCGCGCATTCAAAATTTGCTTATTAAAATGACCATTGGCTGCACGAATGACAACGTAAAAGAATTTATTCGAGTCACCCATCAGCAACTCGACTCTCATGGTGAGCGGTCCAGGCGAACTTTCCAGACCTACCGTTAAGCTCATAAGACGCTCCATACCCTACGTTTTTCTCAAACTCAAATTTTGATTGGGATACACGCCAGTATAAATATTATCTACGCTCAGTGCTAGAGCCAGTCCATTCTCAAAAAATCACCTGTGTCTCCAAAAACTGACTACTTTCAACAACCTGTATTTGGGGCTTAGATTGACCTAGATGACTCATGTTTGCCACACGTCAGAACTAAATCAGATTTTGATACTCAACGTAGGGTTGCGAAACGAATTCCTGGGAACCTTAGTGACGCTAAATATCTGTGCGAGCGCTCAACAATTTGTTGAATGATTTAGAAGCATGATTACACAGAATTCCGACGGTGAAAGAGGCCTTGAAACATATGAGAGCATTCAGACAACATAAGAGGGACGGAGAACATTTGTGACGCAATTTGGCAGGGTAAATCAAAAATATATTCAAGCAACGCCACTCAAACATCCTATAGACTCTTGACAGAAGGAACCATGCTAATCATAAGTTCTCCGTCCTGTTTTTAGAAGAGAGCAA